CCAGTGATTCCTCCTGTCATGAGAGAGGTGTCTACCACAGATAGATTGCTCTTTGGGGTTACATCCCTGCTTCCACTGACTGTGGTGGAAATCTTGATTGTTAATTTAAGCTGCAGGCCTACTTACATGTGGCTGTAGGGGTGTGAGATGGATTCCATGACAGCATGGAAAAGGTGAAGATGGAATCCCTGGTCTTTTCCAGAGAAAGACTCAGGACACACTACACAAATGGCAGGTGCAAAACAAATGAAGTGTATAGCTGAGGTATTGGATCTCCTTTCCTTAGGAGGCTGTTTTATAAAACCTTTCTTGGTTCAAACATAGTTGGACACTTTCAGGAAGAAAAGACCACTGTGGGAAACTAAATACAGCTAGACCTCTTGTGGTTAAGGAAGTCCATGAACAGCAAATTACCATCAAGAATTTCTGGGAACCACAAACTTGGGATGGGAAACAAAGAAACAGAATTAATACTCGAATGTTTGTTACCAGTTTCTCTTTGTTTTAGAGATGTTTTTGAGCAGGAATGGAAGCTGAGGTATTATTTCTCTGTAATGTCTCACTAAGCAGATTGTGACAAGCATTTGGCACAGAAAAAAAGCGATACCTGAACATATTCTGCACTTCAATAGTGCCTTTCATCCCAGACGCTCAAAGTTATGAAGCAACACGCCTGTGAGTTTGTCCTTGTAATTATTTCCCATTTTAAATGTGGGAAACAGAAGTATGGAGAGGTTAAACAACCTGCCCAAAGGTGGAAGGTTGCCTATGACAGAGATAAAAAGAAAATGTTTTTCTGTCTATCCCATGTGCATGTCAAAATTTCACATCTCTCACATATAATGAATTTAATACTGTCTTTTAACAGAAAATCTTTGTCATAATTTTTTGTACTTCCCAGGTCAGGCCTAGGATCCCAGAGTGGAATATTGTTTGGCACTAAGTTTATTGGCACATAATACTGTATTGTTCATCAGAAGATATTTCCTATCTAAGGTATTGCTGTCTTACTGAACATTTTGAGTAATTCAAATGCAGATTTTAATCCAAATTTTTATTGGAGGGGGAAGAGTGAAATGATTTTAAAGGGTTATATAGGGCTTCACTTCTGTTCCAAGATACCCCCAATAGCAGGGTTCCAGCAAAAATCTTCTAGACAAAGTTGCAGTTTCTTTTGCCTTGCAGTTTAACAGGAAACAATGCCAGGAGAAAAGAAGAAACTGTATGTGCAGGTTGGATCCCTGCTAGCATCAGATGGTGCAAAGGTTGTACCTCATAGTACACAAGGGAACATTCAGAGGGGCCATATTTGTTCTCTGATTGCCTTGCCATTGCCTAATAGTAGGTAAACACTATTTCTGCTCCCTCTCTGGGTCAGCAAGAGAGCCTTCTAGGTTAGGATTTTACACTGAGACACAGACTAAATTAGAGATTTTCTCTTAGCTGGGGTTCATTCCTAGCCAAAGCTGTCCCTCTAATAACAATCAAGTCTCCTTACTCTCAACAGAACAATGTGAGTGCAGAATTCCCCTTTCAGTAACCTAGGTTTCTCTCTTAATTGCTTAGAGACAAATAGCCCTGGGAGGATGCTGCTTGACTGCTTATATTCCAAATTGCTAGTGAGCAAATGCACATTAAAGGAACATTTCGATGTTATTAAAAATAATGTGCAGCCTTGGAAAAATGCAGGCCTAACATGATTTTGGGAGACAAATGAAGAGCTCCAATAAGTTCACAGTCATTTAATGCCTCCAAGTAATGGCTGTTGCTGACATTTTCATGTTTTATTTTTAATTGCTGCAGCTAATAATGCTAATGAACTAAGAATGGCAATGGCGTAGGCATTCCAATAGCAGTGGTAAAGAGGAGAGTGTGGAGTTGGCAGCAAAGCTGCTGGGGACCCTTACTCCCTTGTCTTTCCCAGAAAAAGACCTGAGGCACTGCAACCTTCAGAGTTCCTCCTTTTTATGCAGCCACAGGGAAAATGTTTGGGAGTGGTAAACCTCCACTGAGAGAAGCAGCCATGGAAAAGCTGCTCTTGGCTTCCCCTTGGACACGGGTGCTGCAGTTTGACTCTGGTGCAGACGGTGTTCACCACAGCACTTCTGGGATCATACCAGGAGACAAAGCAACTTCCTCTTTAATCCTTGGTGCAGAATTCACCCAAAGCAGATTGTTCTCATGAAAGGTAGCACAGACTTGAGCTTTGATTTAGGGGGCCTGAGGCTGGATTTATTTGGTGTGTGAGTAATTAAAACCTCTAGACTTGCTGATTCAGTCCTAGTTATGACCATGATTTTATCACTGTATTGTTCCATTCCTAATCCTTTAGTGAGGTTAGAGCAGGTTAATCTTAGTGAAATGTTTGCTTAATTCTACTCCAACTCATTTGTTCTCTTAATAAAATCTGCATAAAGAATGGAGAAATAGTAATTCTTTCAGCTTGTTCCAATTACTTTGAGAGCAAAGCTAATTCAGCTGAAGCAGCTTAAGAGCAACTTGACTGTGTTTTTACAGTTGAGGCTCTGTGCCAGCAGGAGATGAGACATGTTCCATACTCCAGAGCAGTGTCAATATCTTCATCTAGTTAAAATCTGGAACATGCCCAGGTTTGGCTCTTGGATGTTGCATGGATTTTTCTCCAGTCTTACGCCTTGCTGCTCAGTTCTGCCAGGTTCAGAGTTTCTGCCTCTTTTGCTTCTCTTTTGGACTGCTGTTGTTCCCATGGCCCATTAGCAAAGCAGAAGAAATGGAATTGAGTGTATGGGTGTTCACTTTGTCCATCGAGAAAAGCAAAAGACTTTTTCTCTTGGTTCTGTCTCATCAGAAGGGACTTGTGGCTAAATGACAGTTTGGTATGACCCAATAAGTTTATCCTTACAAATACTAAATAACATGACATCCATAAGGGATACACTTCTCCGAAGAACATGATAGATGGATGTGTTGCAAAAGGGATGGAAAAAGCCAGAAAATGCATCTAAGAAAATAAAATAATTTTAAATTAAGCCTGAGCAGGGAGTATTTGTATAGACTGCAGGCCCTGGCTGTCACAGTGAACACTTGATGCATGGCAGAGTGGATGTCTGAGCCAAGACAGAACTAGAATCATTCTTACTTGCTACTTCATGAGGCCTCTGCATAGAAACTAAAGCTGCCTTAATTTTATGATACCTTGAGGGGCCAGATCCAATCTGAGCATTATTACACTGTTGGCACAACTCAGCCACAGAAGTTCCCTTTCCCTTTTTGGCCAGCCAAGCTTCCAAACCTCAGCAGAGGGGAAGCTGCAGCACCTGAGCTTGTGCTGGCTTCATTGCACTGGGTGGGGATTCACCCTGGTGCCTCAGAGAGGTGCTGGCAGATGGGTGACGTGCACTTTGTCTGGAGGAGGAGACCTGCCTGGGCTGTACAAAGTAATTATGAAATCTAAATGACAAAAGTAATGACAAAATAGTCAAGGTGATGGCAAGAAAATGTTCAAAGAAGCATGGCAATCTGTGCCTGCTGAACAACAGGGAGCTCTTGGTGCAGACAGAAGAAAACAATACCATATTGGCCGTGGCACTTTGCTGCCAGGAATGCCGCTTTATGAACCATGGGAGAAATCTCCCAAATGTGCTCTGACTTCTGTGCTTGATTGGTGAGCCAAGTCTCAAGTCCCTTCCTCACTTATATCATGTCCTAAAGCATTACAGAATAGTGGAAAAAATATTTAAGCGCTTAGAAGAGAGGGCAGAACAGTATTGAAAGGGATTTCATTTTGGGGGACAAGGAATAACTCTCTCCAGCTCTGTGGATAATGAATGCACTTAATGGGAAAGTAGGAGAAAATACATATGACTGGGTACTTTAAACAGAATAGTCTATTTGTGACATACCCCTGCTCCACACAGCTTCCCAAACCCTTTGTACTCTTTATACCTTCCTCACTTCCACAGAAACACAAAGACAACTGAAATGAGCATAGTCGAAACGACCTCCAAAGTGTGGTGGTTTGATTTCAGCATTAAATCTCCCCTTGATGGTTCACAGTGACACTGTATTGCCAATAGATTACAGGGTTGTAGCTATTTTCCACGCAGGAGAACACACAAAGGAACCCCCGCCAGCCCTAGCAGTGCTCTCAATCAAATAAAAACCCTTTAGCTTCCTGTTGCAGAGCTCTCCCTAGGATTCATGTATATTTTATCAAAGTTACATGCAGTTCTGATACTTGTTTCTAAAGTGCTTCAATATGAATCCCAAGATGTACTGAAATGCTGCAGTGGACCTTTTTAAAAAAATCCAGGTTAGAGTAGAGAAAAAAATGAAATGTCTTGACTCTACAGAATGCAATGAGAGCAAATTTTGATCAACAGGCTTCTATTGATATAAATAAGCAGAAGAAACACAAATTTACATCTATTTGAAATCATTTGACTATATGTAAGTGCACCCTGGAAGTAGCAGGAACAAAGAGGAGCTGCACTGTTTAACCTCTCTTAAATTAAAGTCCTGCGATGATATAAAGCTATTTTTTGCCAGAATTGCTTTTATAAGACAACATACATGCCAACACAAAGAGCTGTAACTTCAGTTCTAACCAATTACTCTGAAAATAGTTAATAACAGCCTGGAGCAAGGAAAAAAGAAAAAAAGAAAAAAAAAAAGAAAAAGAAGCTTGTGTTTACTAATTGGGATTTTTTTCTTTCTTTTTATTAAAAAAACCCCCAAACAACAAAAACCCAAAAAACCCCCATGTTTTGTGTCTTAAGCTAAGTTGTGAGATAAAGAGTTCAAATGATCTTCACAGAAGAAAGGTGTATGTAAATTTAAACCACTATTTCATTCCTCCTTTGTCTCAGAATTTCCAGATTTTAGACAGGATGGACAGATAACATGATCTGGCTACAGTATAATAAGGCATTTAGGTTGAAGTCAGCAAGAGCCAGCATAGTGGAGAGGTGATTAAAAAAAAAAAGAATTCATTTTGTATGTAATAAAGCTTTAGTACTTACAGCTGTCCTCTTCTTCAGTAATACACTTCACAACATAACAGGCATAGATGAAGCCTGCCAGCTGAAACAAAATGTAATAGTGTTAGATGTAAGACTGATACCATAGAGAAACAAGAGATGGCTTTACAAAAGTGACTACAGAAACAGAAACAATAAAATTCAACAGACTTTCTTTGAGAAGGTAAAGATAATTCCCCACAACAGTTTGATAATTTTAATTAGAAATAGGAGAATTCTGCATCTTTCTTGAAAAACACATCCTTCAGTAAAATTTCCAAAAAATTTATCAAAATTTTAACTAGTTAACTTATTTTAAATTACTGAAAAATACAAAAGTTAATGAGCATTTGGATGGATGAGCTTTTAGCTACTGAAAACCTAAATATTTCTGTCAAAATCAGATTTGCTATCCAACAAAACCTGGCCCTCTAGCAGAACTTTTTTTAAAATCAGAACTGTGCCAACTAAATCAAGGACAAATTCAGTGCACTTGTAAACCAGCTTTATAATGATATTTTATCAGTTGAAATTAGGGCTGTGGATTAATGGAACTTGTTCCCATATCTGCAATGCTCCCCAAGCCTCATTACAAGTCACTTTGGATAGTCCTGGATGTGTTTACATCAGCATCTCACACAGCAGCTGGCAAATTTGTATCTTGTTCCCTTCAATCCTCTCTGCAGAGCATGCCCAGAATTGAATTGTAAACAGGAGCAATGGGATTTAAAGAAAATGAAAATCTGGAGTAGTTATTGAAGTACCACCTGAAAAAACAATAATAAAATAAGGAATAAATGGCCAATAGCATACATGCAACAGCCCTGGTATCATGTGAGTCAGCTGCTGGTCCCTCCAGCAAGTTCTGTTGTTGCTAAGTTAGACCAGAAGTAAAAGAACAAATATTGGAGCAGTAACACGTGTCACACGTGGCCTGCTTTACACAACTTCCTCACATGTAGGTCTGGAGAGTTATCTCTACTCCATTACAAGAAATCATTTTTCATCCTTTAGCTCATCACTGAAGTTTGCATGGTAGGATGTCTAAAGAATTCCAGTTATTTGATCTCTGTGTAGTGAAAAGTGAGCCGTGCTGCCAAAATGTGTTATTCCGCACAGGCCATGTCACAGAGATATTTTCATGAGCTGCAAAACCCTCTGTACACTTCGGGAATTTTTTTTTTAATATGAATAATAAAAATTCCTAGAGGCTTCAGCCTCTAAGCTCTCTGTGAATGGTGCAAAGCCCATAATCTCCGGCTGAGGGAGATGATGATCTTAACTTCAGTTTGAGTAATTAGTGGATTGGACAGTAGAAGTGAAATTTGAGAGACCATGTATTATGAATGCTGGTTACTTAAAATGGATTTTTTTTTTTGGTTAATCCAAGGCATACGTACAATCACTGCAGTATTGTGGGTTCTTAGAGCCCTTAATATTACCCATATATAAATTAAATGCAAACAAATACATTCTATTTCGTAGTGCCTTCATACCTGAGGCAGTGACTACACCTAGTTTTCTTCAGCTCTTACACAGATATTCCTGGAATTTCTGTCAGTTTTCTATGTAGAAAGCTACCTATACCCATAAATTCTACCTTCTAATATCTGTATGGGTAAGAGATGGCAAAAGGGGGGAAAAAAAAGGTCATCCTGAAGGCTTTCCTAAAAAATCAAGACTTAGTTTGGAGATCACACTGAAGCCAGCATAGGTGTTGTATGTTCACAGTTTAAATTCCTGTTGGAAGCCCAGAAGCTGCATTACAATGGCACTAAACCATTAATTTTGTCATTTATTATAAATCTGCCTTACAGTGCTGCTGGGAAGATTTTACACCTGGGAAGGATGAAATATTCACTGCTGGACACAAAGAATGCACTGTACCAAGAAGTGGCATTCAGCTAATATCAGCATTTCATCTCTCCTTTATTGGATCCCTCTTCTCTTTTGTTTCTTGGCTTCAAGACAGAGGGCTAATTTGCTCCACTGACTTATGCCCTGCATAACCCCATTGACTTCAATGACATTACTTGAGGTTTAATTCAGCAACGAATTAGGCCCAGAAAGGTTGTTCATAAATGATTCCATTCCTGGATGTGAACCTTGGCTTAATAGTTTCTCTGTTCTCTTTTTACAGACCATCAGATCCAAGATAGCTGAATAGTTGCATCTCTAGCAGGCTCCTATGGTAATCCTTTTCTTGCACTACAGTTCAACACTTTACTGGCTTGTCAACCACCACAAGTTCATGTGTTATTAACTGAACTTATCTTCCAAAGCACAGCAAACAAACCGTATCACAAATGGTATTTACAACTGATCTTTTAATTGTATTCAATTACATCACTTAAATCCCTAGGGAACTCCTTTGATATACAAGCAAATCCTACAGCATTTCATCAGATGAGCTTGCTGATTAAAAGAATGCCTTAAAGCTCAAATTGTTATGATCTAAGTATGAATGTCAGGGTTTTTTCCCATGAGATAATCAAAGTTCATAAAAGAAACCTCCCCTTTTCCCACATTTATCCAACCCTTAGCTTGGTAAACATAATCATGTTTGTTGTTCTTATTTGAATCTCACATTAGTTTTTTATTTTTTTTTTAACCAAGTAATTTATCAGTTCTGATACAGTGACAGTCATTCAAGTTTACCTTCTAATTGCATCAGCAGCAGTGGGCACACTGAGCTGAGGCTCAGAACCAAAAGTGGCAGTATTCACTTTGATGATACTCAATGACCTGAGCCCTTGGTGCCTGCAGAGATCCCCAAGATCAGGAACATGTTTCCTCCCCTGTGGACTAGGACTTCCCATTAAAGGGTACAGTTCATCTATGCAGATAGCAGAGATTTCTTTGGGACTTTGGTCAACTAAAATTTTTAATGAATTCCCATGTGGATTAATAGGTCTCCCAAAATTTCCCACTTTTGTTATAGTGCAAGATGCACTTTAACCTTTTCTCTCTAACAAAAGCACACCACAATATACCTTTATATCACAAAAAATACCCCCAACAAATCTGAAGAAAACACTGAATAACTCCTCATCCTGGAGAAGAATATGAGAGAAGAAACCCAAACCAAAGCAAATTATAGAAGTTAGTCACGTCACTTAATATATTCCTGGGAAGTCCTCAAATACAGCAGTGCTCAGTGCAGTATGAGAATTACACAGAGCAGAGTCTTCCTGATTCAGTAGCTCCAAAAGATTTTTGTCATACATGACAAGGAAGGAAATGAGTCCTCAGAGATAAAGAAGAGAAGGAGACTGACTGTCTCAGAAAATCAGTTCAAATCTGGGAAAATTAGCTTGAAAAATCATCCCTAGCTTTTGCTTTGCATCTCTACCTAATTTTTTTTAAAATTAACTGAGCTTTGTTTTTTTATAAACCATGCAGTGATAAAAAGAAATAGGTGCAATGAGCAGAAGATCATTTCTGGATCCCAGACCCATCAAGATTAGGTGTTTACATCTGTCCCACTCACATTTTAATGCTGTAGTATGGGCCTCTAGAGGAGAAGGAGCCATTAGCAACATTCCTGCTCATTTACACATAGAGCGATTAGTGAATGCATGTTTTTATGAACCTCATTTTCTGCACCTTGAAAAAACCTGCTATTTACAACTTTCCCTGATATGTCCATATGAGAGTATAAATGAATACTGCTCTTTCTAAAAGTGACATATTATCCATGCCTGCACCAGCTCCCTGGGTGTACTTTGACCGTGTCTGATGACCTTAATTTTAGAAACAATCATCTCAAACACTTAATAATTTTGTGGGGTGTTTTTCAATTGGTCCTTTTTTGTTTGGATTTTTTTAAAAAAAATCTATAAGCTGTTGATAAAACCATTTTCCTTCTATCAAGAAAAAAAAAAGAAGACAAGCAAAGCCTAAAAGAAATCATCAACAAAAGAGCATTACTGAAGCTTTGATAAAAAGATTAACTACAAAATGAAGTTAATGCATTTTATTGCCTTATCATAGCCGTATAAGGAAAACAAAATAGTAGAATATTCCCACCTAAGTCAATGATGCCCTGTTACACCTCTAAAGACTCTTGGCAGATCCTGAGTCACTGTGAGTGTACTTCCAGACTTGCTCAAAATGTCAAGTGCTGTGATCAAACTCAATCAGAATCAGTATTGATTAAATTCCTGTCTTGCTATTTTTTCTAACTTCTTTCATGAGATGAATGTTTTTATACACTGCAAAGAGCACCAGATTTGAAAAAAAGGCTATCATATAAAACCACGATTTCTGGTCAAGGTTCCCACATTTCCCTCCTCTAAAGCAATATCTATATAGGTAATTACTACAAGTTATGCTTATTAAGCTGGGAACTTGAAGCAAAAGAGTGATGGCAAGGAGAAAACAAAAATTGAAAGGGGATCTGATTGGGATAGGGTGATGAGGATCAGGCTTGAGATGAGGATTAATGAGTTAAGGGTTGTGGAAATAATACATAGTCTTGGTTTGATTAAATGAATATAGTTTTATTTTATAACCATACTTGTTCCAGCAAAATGGACCTTAGACTTAAAATACACAAACCTATTGTGCTTTCCTATGGAAACATGCTTCAGTATCTCTGAAACAGCTGAGGCTTGTGCATTTACTTTTTATTATTAAGTTTTTGCAGGTGTCTATAAACACGCTGCTTTTAAGACCCAAGCAAAATATGGGCTAGTTCAAGCAATAATACAGCAGAAATACATGGATGTAATCCTGGCCCTGGGAATGCTATATTGCAAAGCTGCAATGCTACATGTCCAGCTATGTGCAAATTAATCGTATTTCTTAAGCTTACAGTGGTCTGCACACATAAAACCTTTGTAGTGATGTGCATTTAAGGGGTAATGTTTCTTTAAAATGGATTTTTGGAGTCTGGAGATATATTGTTATATATATATACACACACACACATTATGAGCAACTGAAGAACTGGAGAATTACTGTCTAGAAAGCTTCCAGTGTATTGATTCTCAGAAGAATCATAGTCATTATTTAGCAGGAAAGGTGAGGCAGAGACCTTTCTCTCAATATCTGTAGATTTAA